GGTAGATGGGAAAATGGGGGGGTGGGGGAAATGGGGAGGGACAAGGGGAGAAGTCGGGATCGGGATGAGATCGGGGGGAAAGTCGGGGTAAGGTCCGAGGAGATGAAGATCAGGGGATGGGAAAATGGGAAGAAGGAAACGGGGGAAGTCGGGATCGGGATGAGATCGGGGTGAAAGTCGGGCTAAGGTCCGGGGAGATGAAGATCGAGGGATGGGAAAAAAAATGGAAATGGGGGGGGGAACGGGAAAGTCGGGATCGGGATGCAGACGACGAGAGGAGGAGGAGGAGGAGGAGGAGGGGAGGGCGACGACGATGACGACGACGACGATGACGACGACGACGGCGACAACAACGACGACGACGACGACGAGAACAAAGACGATGACGACGACGAAGAAGAAGAAGAAGAAGAAGAAGAAGAGGAAGAGGTAGAAGAATAAGAAGTAGAAGAGGACGAAGAAGTAGGAGACGAAGAAGGAACTTAGAAAAGTTAAAACACAAAGAGAAATAAGAATTAAAAAACGAAAAAAAAAAAAAGGAAGAAGAAGAAGAAGAAGAAGATATGGCGGAGGAGGAGGAGGAGGACGCGGAGGAGGAAAAAGAGGAGGAGGAGGAGGCACAGGGGGTTCGCTGCTCCGATGGCGAATGCTGCGCGGCGACGAGCGGCGGGGCAGCTCGGCTGTTCGATCGAATTCGAACAGGGGACCCGACTGCCCCTTCCCGCCAGGCCGCCCGCCCAAACCCGCCCCCCAAACACCCCCCCAGACACCCCCCCCGGGCCCCCACCTACCCCCCAGACCCTTTGGAGGGCCGGTAACGCCCGCTGAGCGAACACGTTCGCAGGCCTCCGAAAGTCATTCGTGTGAAAGCGTTCGCTTCCAGTTCGGGCGAACGACCAAACGTGTTCGAACGTACTTTTCAACACTGTCGGTGTGCTACGCAACTTTGCAATTTGGGATTGAATGATTTTTAGCATTGAATGATTTCTGAAAACTCTCCGTTTGGTGTACAACTTGACCTTTAGAAAAACACTATGCAACTTGCGGATGTTTCCATCTCGATGTTTGCGATGACAAGCGTTAATATATGAATGGATGTTAAGTATCTTGTCCATGCATAGATTTGATGACATTTTCACTCGGGAATATACAAATGATAAGCCAACGTCTATATTAAATCACCACGCTGATGGTGTTCGCACCTAGCTCTCCATCTAAGTGCGAGTTCACTCACACTTGTGGTGTGAACCCCGAGCAATCCACTTAAGTGAGAGTCCATCTAACTGCGATGACAAGATTGAATGTTACGAATCTATATTATGGATTTGTCCATGCAAAGATATGATGACATTTTCATCCGGGAATATACGAATGACAAGCTAGAGTCCATATTAAATCATCAGGCTGATGGTGTGCGCACCTAGCCCTCCATCTAAGTGCGAGTTCACTCGCACTTGTGGTGTGAACCCCGAGTAATCCACTTAAGTGAGAGTTCACTCACACTTTGTTTGTATCCCATTCAGCAGAAAGGACAACCAACCTAGCCCCAGTTGCAATTGAGCAACAAAAACTGCCCAACAACTGATAATGTGCGGGACCTTGAGTTCAATTGTGTTTGTAGAGTCCGAAATTCTGCTAGAAACAGATCCAGGTCCGACAAAAAGGCCCACCACAGAAGCCGAGCAATTTGTTTTCGCAATGACACCAAACAATTTGACTAAAAAAATTGCATTTTTTTCTGGCGGAAACGTTCTTGTGATTTTCGTTCGCTTTATGTAGAAACCTTCGATGAGGACCTTGTGAATATACAGTACGAGATGTGACGACGGAGTGTTGGCCTCACCAGGGGAGTTATCATTTGCCAACTTTATTTACGAGTGTATGCACGTCCGTATGTATCGTTTATATGTGTGTGATATGTAGGGTGCATAATGTCGTTCAGAACGTCGGCAATCATTAACATGAGTCCCGAGACGCACGTGTGCTTAGCAAAACCATTTCCTCCTTGTGCGAAATCGGTGCGGCATTGTACCGGTCATACGTGGATCCACGAAGCAACCAGAGACAACTTCGAAAAGGACCCATGGATGACCGTCGTCCCGTACATGAACCAACATCTTGACGAATGGAACGATAACAATTGGAACGCGATGGAGTGTGTCTACCCTTGGGAAAACCATTACAAGTTCGCCAATATGTTAGAGTTCGAGATCCTCATTACACTACCTGATGGTGTCCTCGAGTCCAAGTTCCTGACCCGTATTTGTAAATGACTCCGCTCCCTCAGCTGCTTGAGCAGTCGCCTCGACTGCGAGTACATCATATCTTCACCACGAACTTGGGGAAGTTCGCAGAAGCAAGAGTTGGTGGACTGCGCTCGTCATTGTTCATTCTTGGAGCAATACCCACCCCGTTGCCTAAGGATTTTTTCACAAGTTGTGTCATACTGTTGTGTGCGTTTAACTACTAAGGGATTTGTTTTCGCCAGAGTGTTATGTGTGCCTTCTTCAAACAAAATAAGGAAACCCGTGGATGCAGTTGTGCGTGTATCACGGAACGAGTTGGTACTCAGGGGTCCAAGTTCATGGCGTTGCAGTATCGCCGGGTGTAGGTGGACGGTCAAATGTGGTGAGAGCAAGTGAGGTCAAAGATTTTTCATTGTGGCATGAGGTGAAAGAGAAAGTGTCCGACATACAAGACCGTATAAGGAATTCCTCAGCATGACCATGAGGGTTTCTTAGGATGAAATACATGTGCGTATTTTTGGAGAATGCAACAGTCGAGAAACCACAAATCCACGTATATGGATCATCTATGAATGCTATGTATGACTTCGGTTCATGACCTCGTCCGCGGGTTGTCAAACCTTGTGTTTAAGAAAAAATAAGTGAAAATTGAACTATTTTTTATCCGACAGGAATATATGAGGCATCGTGAGGAGGGGTTGTCGAGTTAGAAAAATGAAACTGTTTCATTGGTACAAGTTTTATATCTATGAAACATGATGTGCATGTGTGTAGCCGAAAATGGTAGATATGAAGTAGTAGAGAGAGGTGTGAGAGGCAGTAGTCGCAAGTAGACGCTATACCGAGTATGTTCGTAGTTATGAAATTGTGATTTTTGGAAAGCCTCTGTGTACTCTGCAATGTGTGATTGAATGATTTTTTGCATTGAATGGTTTTTGAAAACACCCTTGTCTTCTTTGCAATGTGCGGTTGAATGATTTTTTGCATTGAACGATTTTTCGCAACTCTCTGTGAGGTGTACAACTTGACCTTTAGGAAAACTCTAGGCAACTTAGAAGTGTTTTCATCTTGATGTTGCGATGACAAGAGTAAATGTTATGAATGGATGTTATGTATATTGTTCATGCAAAGAAATGATGATATTTTCACCCGGGAATATACAAATGACAAGTCGACGTCCATATTTTATTCATCACGCTCATGGTGTGCGCACTTGACTCACAATTTAAGTGCGAGTTCACTCACACTTGTTGTGTGAACCCCGTGCAATCCACTTAAGTGGTGTGTGCACCTAACTCTCCATCTAAGAGCGAGTTCATTCGCACTTGTGGTGTGAACCCCTAGCAATGCACTTAAGTGTGAGCTCACTCGCACTTTGCTTCAACTTGACCTTTGGAAAGACAACAGACAACTTGCAAGTGTTTCCCTCTCTCCATCCCTCCGACTATCATAATAGTGATCTTGCAAGTGTTTCAATCTCTTATCTTCATGTCATGGGATGCATGGATGTTTTTCATGAAAAGATGTTCATGTCAAGGAGGGGATCGATGTTTGTAGTGACAAGGATGAATGTTATGAATCTATATTATGGATTGTCCATGGAAAGATTAGATGACATTTTCATTCAGAAAAAATACAAATGACAAACCAGTGTCCATATTAAATCACCACGCTAATGGTGTGCACACCTACCTCTCCATCTAAGTGCGAGTTCATTCGCACTTGTGGTGTGAACCCCAAGCAATTACCTTAGACTTTGCTTCAACTTGAGTTACTTGACCTTTACAAAAACAACAGGCAACTTGGAAATGTTCCCATCTCTCCATCTCTCCGACTTTCATAATAGTGACCTTGCAAGTGTTTTGATCTCTCATCTTCATGCCATGGGATACATGGATGTCTTCGATGAAAAGATGCTCATGTCAAGGAGGGGGTCGATGTTTGCGATGATAAGATTGAATGTTACGAATATATGTTATGGATTTGTCCATGCAAAGATTTGATGACAATTTCATCTCGGAATATACAAATGACAAACCAGCGTCCATTTTAAATCATCACGCTGATGGTGTGCACACCTAGTTTTTCATGTAAATGGAAGTTCACTCGCACTTATGGTATGTACCGCGAGCAAATCCGCTTAAGTAAGAGTTCACTCGCACTTTGACTATATCCCATTCTGCAGAAACGACCACAAACCTGACTCCAGTTGCGATTAAGCATCAAAGACTGCCCAACAACTGATAACCTGCGAGACCTGGAGTTCAATTCTGTTTGTGAAGTGCGAAACTCTGCTCGAAACAGATCCAGGTCCAACAGGAAGGCCCACCACAGTCCCACAAACTTGTGCCCCTGTTGCGATTAAGCATCAAAGACGGCCCAACAACTTATAACCTGCGAAACTTGGAGTTCAATTCTGTTTGTGGAGTGCGAAACTCTGCTCGAAACAAATCCAGGTCCAACAGGAAGGTCCACCACAGACCCACAAACCTAGCCCTAGTTGCGATGAAGCATCAAAGACTGCCCAACAACTAATGACCTGTGGGACCTGGAGTTCAATTCTGTCTGTGGAGTGCAAAACTCTGTTCGAAAATAATCCAGGTCCCACAGGAAGGCCCTTCACAGACCCACAAACCTAGCCCCAGTTGCGATTAAGCATCAAAGAATGCCCAAAAACTGATAACCTGCGGGACCTGGAGTTCAATTATGTTTGTGGAGTGCGAAACTTTTCTCGAAACAGATCCTGGTCTAACAGGAAGGCCCACCACAAACCCACCAACCCAACAATTGCTGACCTGCAGGAACCAGATCCACACCCATCATTAAGGTTCCCTAAGTGTGTTGTTGGCGATCCGCACAGACAACTAACGACTGTTTGATACTTCTTGAAGGTCCTCAGTCACCAAACACATCACGACCTAACGTCAACCTCGCATTAAGGTTCCCTAAGAGTGCTAATGGGAATTTGCACAAAGAACCAATGACGGTTCGACACTTCCTTAAGGCACTCTATCGAACACCGATAACTGCGAATTGTTCAACTAGTATCTGAAAAATGCCTTTCCGGGTTAAAGCAAGGAGCTCGGGCCCTCTCTCAATTACGATCTCTGTCTCTCTCTCTCAATTACGGTCTCTCTCTCTCTCTCTCTCTCTCTCTCTCTCTCTCTCTCTCTCTCTCTCTCTCTCTCTC